CACAGTGAAGGTTGTGTTGGTAGCAACAACATTGTGAAGGTTGTGTTGGTAGCAACACCACAGTGAAGGTTGTGTTGGTAGCAACAACATTGTGAAGGTTGTGTTGGTAGCAACAACACAGTGAAGGTTGTGTTGGTAGCAAACAACACAGTGAAGGTTGTGTTAGAAGCAAACAACATTGTGAAGGTTGTGTTGGTAACAACAACACAGTGAAGGTTGTATTGGTAGCAACAACACAGTGAAGGTTGTGTTAGAAGCAACAACATTGTGAAGGTTGTGTTGGTAACAACAACACAGTGAAGGTTGTGTTGGTAGCAACAACATTGTGAAGGTTGTGTTGGTAGCAACAACACAGTGAAGGTTGTGTTGGTAGCAACAACACAGTGAAGGTTGTGTTGGTAGCAACAACACAGTGAAGGTTGTGTTAGAAGCAACAACATTGTGAAGGTTGTGTTGGTAACAACAACACAGTGAAGGTTGTGTTGGCAGCAACAACATTGTGAAGGTTGTGTTGGTAGCAACACCACAGTGAAGGTTGTCTTGGTAGCAACAACACAGTGAAGGTTTTGTGTTGGTAGCAACAACACAGTGAAGGTTGTGTTGGTAGCAACACACACAGTGAAGGTTGTGTTGGTAGCAACAACACAGTGAAGGTTGTGTTGGTAGCAACATCACAGTGAAGGTTGTGTTGGTAGCACAACACCACAGTGAAGGTTGTGTTGGTAGCAACAACACAGTGAAGGTTGTGATGGTAGCAACAACACAGTGAAGGTTGTGTTGGTAGCAACATCACAGTGAAGGTTGTGTTGGTAGCAACAACACAGTGAAGGTTGTGTTGGTAGCAACATCACAGTGAAGGTTGTGTTGGTAGCAACACCACAGTGAAGGTTGTGTTGGTAGCAACACCACAGTGAAGGTTGTGTTGGTAGCAACAACACAGTGAAGGTTGTGTTGGTAGCAACACCACAGTGAAGGTTGTGTTGGTAGCAACAACACAGTTAAGGTTGTGTTGGTAGCAACAACATTGTGAAGGTTGTGTTGGTAGCAACAACATTGTGAAGGTTGTGTTGGTAGCAACAACATTGTGAAGGTTGTGTTGGTAGCAACAACATTGTGAAGGTTGTGTTGGTAGCAACAACACAGTTAAGGTTGTGTTGGTAGCAACAACATTGTGAAGGTTGTGTTGGTAGCAACAACACAGTGAAGGTTGTGTTGGTAGCAACAACATTGCGAAGGTTGTGTTGGTAGCAACAACATTGTGAAGGTTGTGTTGGTAGCAACAACATTGTGAAGGTTGTGTTGGTAGCAACAACATTGTGAAGGTTGTGTAATGGTAGCAACAACACAGTGAAGGTGTTGTTGGTAGCAACAACACAGTGAAGGTTGTGTTGGTAGCAACAACACAGTGAAGGTTGTGTTGGTAGCAACAACACAGTGAAGGTTGTGTTGGTAGCAAAAACCACAGTGAAGGTTGTGTTGGTAGCAACAACACAGTGAAGGTTGTGTTGGTAGCAACAACACAGTGAAGGTTGTGTTGGGTAGCAACAACACAGTGAAGGTTTGTGTTGGTAGCAACAACACAGTGAAGGTTGTGTTGGTAGTAACAACACAGTGAAGGTTGTGTTGGTAGCAACAACCACAGTGAAGGTTGTGTTGGTAGCAACAACACAGTGAAGGTTGTGTTGGTAGCACACACCAGTGAAGGTTGTGTTGGTAGCAACAACACAGTGAAGGTTGTGTTGGTAGCAAACAACACAGTGAAGGTTGTGTTGGTAGTAACAACACAGTGAAGGTTGTGTTGGTAGCAACAACACAGTGAAGGTTGTGTTGGTAGCAACACCACAGTGAAGGTTGTGTTGGTAGCAACACCACAGTGAAGGTTGTGTTGGTAGCAACAACACAGTGAAGGTTGTGTTGGTAGCAACAACATTGTGAAGGTTGTGTTGGTAGCAACAACCATTGTGAAGGTTTGTTGGTAGCAACAACACAGTGAAGGTTGTGTTGGTAGCAACAACACAGTGAAGGTTGTGTTGGTAGCAACAACACAGTGAAGGTTGTGTTGGTAGCAACAACATTGTGAAGGTTGTGTTGGTAGCAACAACATTGTGAAGGTTGTGTTGGTAGCAACAACATTGTGAAGGTTGTGTTGGTAGCAACAACACAGTGAAGGTTGTGTTGGTAGCAACAACATTGTGAAGGTTGTGTTGGTAGCAACAACATTGTGAAGGTTGTGTTGGTAGCAACAACATTGTGAAGGTTGTGTTGGTAGCAACAACATTGTGAAGGTTGTGTTGGTAGCAACAACATTGTGAAGGTTGTGTTGGTAGCAACAACACAGTGAAGGTTGTGTTGGTAGCAACAACATTGTGAAGGTTGTGTTGGTAGCAACAACACAAGTGAAGGTTGTGTTGGTGCAACAACACAGTGAAGGTTGTGCTGGTAGCAACAACATTGTGAAGGTTGTGTTGGTAGCAACAACACAGTGAAGGTTGTGTTGGTAGCAACAACACAGTGAAGGTTGTGTTGGTAGCAACAACACAGTGAAGGTTGTGTTGGTAGCAACACCACAGTGAAGGTTGTGTTGGTAGCAACACCACAGTGAAGGTTGTGTTGGTAGCAACACCACAGTGAAGGTTGTGTTGGTAGCACAACATTGTGAAGGTTGTGTTCGTAGCAACAACACAGTGAAGGTTGTGTTTGGTAGCAACAACACAGTGAAGGTTGTGTTGGTAGCAACAACACTGTGAAGGTTGTGTTGGTAGCAACAACACAGTGAAGGTTGTGTTGGTAGCAACAACACTGTGAAGGTTGTGTTGGTAGCAACAACACAGTGAAGGTTGTGTTGGTAGCAACAACACTGTGAAGGTTGTGTTGGTAGCAACAACACAGTGAAGGTTGTGTTGGTAGCAACAACATTGTGAAGGTTGTGTTGGTAGTAACAACACAGTGAAGGTTGTGTTGGTAGCAACAACACTGTGAAGGTTGTGTTGGTAGCAACACCACAGTGAAGGTTGTGTTGGTAGCAACAACATTGTGAAGGTTGTGTTGGTAGCAACACCACAGTGAAGGTTGTGTTGGTAGGAGCAACACTACAGAGCTCACCAGTAGGTTCCTGTGTTGCTCTGACTTTGTTATCGTCCAAGATAACGTTTACCACATCACTAAAATACTGTGAGGAGGGAGGAAGGGGAGGAACGCACTTGTGTGTTGCAGGTAATGCGAAGACGAAGGACGGAGTCAGGCTATTAATAAATAGAGAGACATAGAAAAGAAGACTACGAGAAAGGCAGATAAAGACAGACAGGCAGGAAACTCTGTGTGTGTGTGTGTGTGTGTGTGTGTGTGTGTGTGTGTGTGTGTGTGTGTGTGTGTGTGTGGTGTTGTGTGGTGTGGGTGTTGTGGGTGTGGGTGTGTGTGTGTGTGGGTGGGTGTGGGTGTGGGTGTGTGTGTGTGTGTGTGTGGGTGGGTGTGGGTGGTGTTGTGTGTTGTGTGTGGGTGGGTGTGGGTGTGTGGTGTGTGTGTGTGGTGTGGGTGGGGTGGGGGTGTGGGTGTGGGTGTGTGTGGGTGTGGGGGTGTTGGGTGTGGGTGTGTGTGTGGGAAAAGGTTGGATGAATTTAGATCAGGAGGAGGACGAGTAATAATAATAATAATAATAATAATAATAATAATAATAATAATAATAATAATAATAATAATGAACACCACTATATAAGACGACTGTATATTTTTAAATGGTCCCATTTAGTAATGGAACGATTCCAATTTTTTTTACCGTTACCGATACTCAAGTTTAGAGCGATACCGATATTCAGTCCTGGAGGGATACCGATACTAAATTTTAGAAAGTATAATATTCTAAAGTCCTTTAAACTGAAAAAAAACAGGTACTAAGACAAGACTGGGCACCAACAACAGGTACTAAGACAAGACTGGGCACTAACAACAGGTACTAAGACAAGACTGGGCACTAACAACAGGTACTAAGACAAGACTGGGCACTAACAACAGGTACTAAGACAAGACTGGGCACCAACAACAGGTACTAAGACAAGACTGGGCACCAACAACAGGTACTAAGACAAGACTGGGCACTAACAACAGGTACTAAGACAAGACTGGGCACTAACAACAGGTACTAAGACAAGACTGGGCACTAACAACAGTATAAGACAAACTGACACTACAACAGGTACTAAAGACAAGACTAGCACAACAACAGGTACAAAAGACAGAGGGCACCAACACAGGTACTAAGACAGACTGAGCACTAACAAAGGTACTAAGACAAGTAGCCTAACAACGGGTCTAAGACAAGACTGAGCCTAACAACGGGTACTAAGACAAGACGGGGAAACCAACAACAGGACTAAGACAACTGGGCACTAACCAAAAAAAAGGGAATTTTTTTTTTGGGGGGGTAAAAACCCCCTTTTTTTTTTAAAAAAAAAAAAAAGGGGGGGGGAAAAACCAAAAAAATTTTTGGGGGAAAACAAAGTGGTTTTTTGGGGGGGGTTTTTTTTTGGGGGGAAAAAAAAATTTTTTAAACCCCCCTTGGGGGAAAGGGGGTTTTTTTTTTTTTAAAAAAAAAAAAAAAGGGTTTTTAACCCCCTTGGGGGGTTTGGGCCAAAAAAAGGGGGGGGGAAAAAAAAAAAAGGTTTTTTTCCCCCGGGGGGGGGGGAAAAAACCGGGAAAAAAAAAAAAAGGGGGGGGGGGGAAAAACCCAAAAATTTTTTTGGGAAAAAAAAGGGGGGGTTTTTTTTTTCCATTTAAGGGTTTTTGGGGGAAAAAAAAAGGGGGGGGAAAAAAAAAGGGGTTTGGGGGCAAAAAAAAATTTTGTGGGGGGGTTTGAAAAAAGGGGGGGGCCAAAAAGGGGGGAAGGGGGGGGGAAAAAAAAGGGGGGGGGGAAAAAAAGGAATTTTTTTTTTGGGGGGGAAAAAAAAAAAATTTTTAAATTTTTTTTAAAAAATTTTTCCCCCCAAAATTTTTCCCCCGGGGGGCCCCCCCCCCCCTTTTTTTTTTTTTTTTTTTTAAAAAAAAAAATTTTGGGGGGGGGGGAAAAAAAAAAAACCCCCTTTTTTTCCCCCCTTTTTTTTAAAAACCAAAATTTTGGGGAAAAAAAAGGGGGGGGAAAAAACCATTTTTTTAAAAAAAAATTTAATTTTTTTAAAAAAAAAAAAATTTGGGGGAAAAAAACCTTTTTTTTTTAAAAACCCGGGGTTTTTCCCTTTTTTAATTTTGGGGAAAAAAGGGGGAAATTTTTGGGGGGAAAAAAAAATTTTTTTTTTTAAAAAAAAAAGGGGGTTTTTTTTTAAACCCCCTTTTTTTTAAAAAAAAAATTTTTTAAAAAAAAAAAAAAAAAATTGGGGTTTTTTCCCCAAAAAAGGGGGGGTTTTTAAAAACCCCGTGGGGTTTGGGGAAACCCAAAAATTTTGGGGGGGGAAAACCAAAAAATTTTGGGGGGGGAAAAAAATTGTGGGGGTTTTTAAAAAAAAAATTTGGGGGGGGGGGGGGGGGGAAAAAAAAAAGGGGGGGGGAAAAAAAAATTTTTTAAAGGGGGGAAAAAGGGGGGGAAAAAAAAATTTTTTTTTTTGGGGGGAAAATTTTTTTGGGGGGAAAAAAAAAAAAAAGGGGGGGGGGGAAAAAAAAAAGGGGGGGGTTTTTTAAAAATTTTTGGGGGGGAAAAAAAAAAAAATTTTTTAAAAGGGGGTTTGGGGGAAAAAGGGGGGGGAAAATTTTTTTTAAAAAAAAAAAATTTTTTTGGGGGGGGGGGGGGAAAAAAAAAAGGGTGGGGGGGTTTTTTAAAATTTGGGGGGGGTTTTTTAAAAAAAAAAAAGGGGGGGGGAAAAAAAAATTTTTTTTTAAAAAATTTTGGGGGGGGGAAAAATAATTTTTTGGGGAAAAAAAGGAAAGGTTTTTTTTTTTTTGGGGAAAACCCGGGGTTTGTTTTAAAAAAAAAGGGGGTTTTTTGGGAAAAACCCAGGGGGGGTTTTTTTGGGGGGCCCCAAAAAAAAGGGGGTTTTTTTAAAAAAAGGGGGGGGGGGGGGTTTTTTTTTTTTGGGGGGGGGGGGTTTTTAAAAAAAGGGGGGAAAAAAAAAGGTTTTGGGGGGGAAAAAAAAATTTTAAAAAAAAAAAAATTTTTTTTTTTAAAAAAAAAAAATTTTTTGGGGGGCCCAAAAAAAAAATTTTTTTTTTTTTGGGGGGGGGGTCCCCCAAAAAAAAAAAAAAGGGGGGGGTGGGGGGGAAAAAAAAAAAAGGGGGGGGGGCCCCAAAAAAGGGGGGGGTTGGCCGAACAACCAAAAAGGTTTGTTTTGGGTTTAAAAAAAAAAAAGGGGGTTTTTTGGGGGGAAAAAAATTTTTTAAGGGGGGGAAACCAAAAAGGTTTTTTTTCCCCCCGGGGGGTTTTTGGGAAACAAAAAAGGGGGGGGTTTTTTAAAAAAAATTTTTTTTTTTGGGGGGGGGTTTTTTTTTTTGGGGGGGGGGGGGGGGAAAAAAAATTTGGGTTTTTTAAAAAAAAAAGGGGGGTTTGGTTAAAAAAAAATTTTTTTGGGGAAAAACAAAAAAAAAAAAAAAATTTTGGGGGGGGAAAAAAAAAGGGTTTTTTTGGGAAAAAAAAAAAGGGGGGGGTTTGGTAAAAAACCCCGGGGGGTTTTTTGGGGGGGAAAAAAAATTTTTTTGGGGAAAAACCTTGAAGGGTTTTTTTTAAAAAAAAGGGGGGGGGAAAAAATTTGTTTTAAAAAAATTTTTTTTAAAAAAAAAAGGGGGGGGGGGGGGCCCCCCAAAAAAAAAAAAAAAAAAAAAAAATTTGGTAAAAAAAAAAGGGGGGGGTTTTGGTTTTTTTTTTTTTTGGGGGGGGGGGGGTTTTTTTTTTTGGGGGGAAAAAAATAAGGGATTTTTAAAAAAAAGGGGGGGTTTTTTCCCGGGGGGTTTTTCCCCCCCCAAAAAGGGGGGGCCCCCCCCAAAATTTTTTTGGGGGGAAAAACCCTTTTTGGGGGTTTTAAAAAAGGGGGGTGTTTTTTTTTGGGGTTTTTTTTTTTTTTTTTTTTAAAAAAGTGGGGGGGGGGGGCCCCCCCAGGGGGTTTTTTTTCCCCCCCTTTTTTTTTAAAAAAATTTTTTTTTGGGGGGAAAAAACCCCCAAATTTTTTTAAAAATTTTGGGGGTTTTTTTAAACCCAACCAAAAATTTTGGTTTTAAAACCCAAAAAAATTTTTTTTGGGAAAAAACCAAAAAAATTTTTTGGGCCCCCCTTTTTAATTTTTTTTTTCCCCGGGGGGGGAAAAATTTCCCAAAAAAAAGGGGGGGGTTTTTTAAAACCCCCCGGGGGGTTTTTCCCCCCTTTTTTTTTTGGGGGCCCCAAAAAGGTTTTGGGGTTGGTAGAAAACCCCAAACGGGGAAGGTTGTTTTGGTACAACAACACATGGGGGTTTTGTTTTTGGAAACCCACAACCAGTGAAGGGTTTGTGTTGGTAAAACCAAACAGTAAAGGTTGTTTTTGGTAGCAACAACAGTAAAAAGGGTTGTGTTGGTAGCAAAAAACACAGTGAAGGTTGTGTTGGTAGAAACAACATTTTTAAAGGTTGTTTTGGTCAAAAACCCCCATGAAGGTTGTTTTGGTAGCAACAACACAGTGAAGGTTGTTTTGGTTCAAAACCAACTTTGTAAGGGTTTGTGTTGGTGAAAAACAACACATTTAAGGGTTTGTGTTGGTAGCAACAACCCACAGTAAAGGTTTTGTGTTGGTAGCAAAAACCCACATTTAAAGGGTTTTGTTTGGTACCCAAAAACCCAGTAAAGGTTGTTTTGGTAGCAAACAGGAAGGTTGTTTTGGGTAGAAAACAACACAGTAAAGGTTGGGGTTGGGAACCAAACAAAAAGTGAAGGTTGTGTTGGTAGAACCCCCCAAAAAGTGAAGGTTTTGTTGGTACAACAACATTGTGAAGGTTTTTTGGTTGGTACAACAACACAGTAAAGGGGGTTTTGGGTTGGTGGGGCAACAAAAAAGGTAAGGGGTTGTTTTGGGTAGCAACAACAGGAAAAGGGGTTGTGTTGGTGGGAAAAACCCCACAGTAAGGTTGTGTTGGTAGCAAAAAACTTTGGGGAAGGTTGTGTTGGTAGCAACAAACATTGTGAAGGTTGTGTTGGAACAACAACACAGTTGAAGGTGTTTTGGTACCCAACAAACAGTAAAAGGTTGTGTTGGAAGAACAACAGGGGAAGGTTGTTTTTGGTGAAACCCCAATTTTTGGAAGGTTTGTTTTGGGAAGAAAACAAAAACAGTGAATTTGTTGGTTAAGGTAACAAAACCCTTTTTGGTAAAGGTTTTTGTGTTGGTAGCAAAAACAAAGAAAAAGGTTTTGTTTTTGGTACAACAACATGTAAATTTGGGAAAAAATTTTATTGTTTTGGTAGAAAACAACACGGGAAGGTTGTTTTGGGAAGCCAAAAACCCAGAAAAAGGGTTTGGGTGTTGGTAGCAAAAACCATTTTAAAGGTTGTGTTGGTAGAAACAACACAGTAAGGTTGTTTTTGGTAGCAACAAAAAAGTGAAGGTTTTGTTTGGAGAAAAAAAAGTAAAGGTTTTTGTTGGTAGCAAAAAACCCGTAAAGGGGTTGTGTTGGAAAGAAACCCAACACATTTGATTTTGTGTTGGTAGCAAAAAAACAAGTGAAGGTTGTGTTGGTAGCAACAAACAGGAAGGTTTTTTGGGTTGGTAGAAAAACCAAAAGGAAGGTTGTGTTGGTGGGAACAACTTGGGGAAAAGGTTTGTGTTGGTAGCCCCAACACAGTGAAGGTTGTTTTTGGTACAAAAAAATTGTGAAGGTTGTGTTGGTAGATAAAAACCCCTGAAGGTTGTTTTGGGTAGAACAAACATTGGAAGGTTTTTGTGTTGGTAGAAACAACAGTGAAGGTTGATTTGGTAAAAAAAAACAACACATTTTAAAGGGTTTGTGTTGGTAGCAAAAACCCCGGGAATTGGGGGTAAGGGGTTTGTTTTGGGTTTGGAAAAACAACATTTTTTAAGGTTTTTAATTTGTTGGTACCCAACAACACATGAAGGTTGTGTTGGTAGCAACAAAAAGTAAAGGGTTGTTTGGAAGCAAAAAAAGTGAAGGTTGTGTTGGGAAGCAAAAACACAGTGAAGGTTGTGTTGGAAAGAAACCCACAGTGAAGGTTGTTTTGGTAGCAAAAACCAGTGTGGGTTGTTTTTTGGGTACCCAAAAAATTTTTGAAGGTTGTTTTGGGAAACAACAACATTGTAAAGGGTTTGGGTGTTGGTACAAAAAAAGTAAAGGGTTGTTTTGGGGAAACCAACAACACATGAAGGTTGTTTTGGGGTACAAACAAAAAGTAAAGGTTGTGTTGGTAGCAACAACACAGTGAATTTTGTGTTGGAACCAACAAAAAGTAAAAGGTTGTGTGGTAGAAACAAACAGTAAAGGGTTTGGTTTTGGGTTTAGCAACAAAAAGTGAAGGTTTTTTTGGTAGCAACAACAAAAGTGAAATTTTGGTTGGAGCAACAACAAGTAAAGGGTTTGTTTTGGTGGGCAAAAACCACGGGAAAAGGTTGTGTTGGAAGCAAAAACCCTTGTAAAGGTTGTTTTTGGTAGCAAAAACACAGTAAAGGGTTGTTTTTGGTAAAAAACAAAAAGGGGAAAGGTTTGTTGGAAAGAAACCCCAAAAATTGTAAGGTTGTTTTTGGTTTAGCAACAACATTGTAAAGGGTTTTGTGTTGGTGGGCCCCAACACAGGGGAAGGTTGTTTTTGGTAGCAACAACACATAAAAGGTTGTGTTGGAAGCAAAACCATTGTAAAGGGTTTGGGTTTTGGGGTAAAACAACACAGTAAGGTTTTTTTTGGTACCCAAAAAACATTTTAAAAGGTTTTTTGGGTTTACCCAAAAACAAAACAGTGAAGGGTTTTTTTGGGTTTAGAAAAACAACTTTTGGGAAGGGGTTTGTTGGGTTTAGCAAAAACCCACAGTGAGGGTTGTTTTGGGTTTGAAAACAACAAAAGTGAAGGTTGTGTTTAGCCAAACAAATTGTAAAGGTTTTGTGGAAAACCGAAAAACAAACCCCGTAAAGGGTTGTTTGGGTAAAAACAACACAGTGAAGGTTTTTTTTAAAGCAACAACAT